TTGAAGTTTGGTGAAATTTGCTGCAATCAGGCTCTTCAGGCAAGTGATCAAACTCGCCGCTAAACTTACACGGGAAAAAACGGCGGACGAGTTTTTGGACGAGTTTTTCGCGCGCGCCATATGAATTTGAGGCTCACTCCGTTCATTTCATTGTACGACCAGTATCTTACATCAACAATGGACACGAAAACTGATAGTAGAAGGTAGAAGAAGAAACCAGCCATAGAGAAACCAAAATTCATGCATTAACACAAGATAGGACGAGTTCTGTTATGGTTTGTGTTAAGAAGTCTGCGAGGACGACTGAATTTACCAACGTGCATATCTGTATTTTCCTTTGCTCCTAGAACAATTTAACTGCAGTTCTGAATCCGCTTTCTGATACCCTTTGTGCGGAGGTTCGATGGATTTACAGTGTGGAACGAGCAACAGTTTGGCAGTAAGCTAAACTCGAAAGGGAAGACTCCGATTTACTTGCGACTCATTTACGTGGCTTTGCTGAATTCAGGAGCTATTCTGTGGGACTGTATATTAACGAGGTGCAGATCATTAGTCTTCTCGGTGCTTTGTGAGCTGGGAGGGGAGGGGAGGCAAGGAGAGGGCTAGTTTTCGCGTAGAAGGAGCTTGTGGAAAATAGTAAGGCTCGTTCAGGGAGGAGCTCCTTCTTCCCTAAGGCTCAGCCTCAGCGGAAGGAGGAACTACTCCGCAAGTCTAAGCCTACTGTGGGTAAGCAATGTCAGAAGTCGGCGTATCCCCCACCCCTACCCCCATGCCACCCTGCCCTCACATAGCACCGTCTTCTCCGTCGGTGGATGCTTACTGGTCACTCAATCGCAACACAGTCCACAGGTTACGTTCTACTGCTAATGTGTTAAATGAGAAAAACACAAGTTCAGTTTATACCGTTAATATCCTCATAAGTTATACTTCGGCGCAAAGGAGCCAACTAATACGCGCTTCGCCGCCCTTTCAAGTTTGTTAACAAATTTAAAATGTGGCCCGCTCAGCCACGCAATTGCTGACAGGTTGAAATATTCAGTCCCTAGTTGACCCATCCTTTTCAGTCATTTCCATCCCTTTTCACACCCTGATGCCTTTCTGTACCCATCCACCGACTTTGAAATGGGCAATGGACTCTTTTCTGCCATGATTTCAGTAGAATTTAGACTGAAAGGGATACTGAACACTAGCTCAACAATGAACTGACCGAGTGAGCCTCAAATTCAAATGGCGCGCGCGAAAGACTCGTCCAGAAACTCGTCCGGCGTTTTTTCCCGTGTAAGTTTAGCGGCGAGTCACTTCTGGTGATCAACGCGCATCCATACTG